TTTATTACAATACAATGTCATGGCCATCTATAATAATTACCTGCCTTCTGTCAAAGTAGATTTCAGATATCATGGCAACAGGAAAAGCAAAGATTTAAAACTGGTGTCTAGGGCTGCTGGTGCTGTCATATCATTGTGATGGGTCTTGATGGATGGGGTCTATTATTACTATGAGGAAAGAAGATTGGTGCTTATTGTGTCACTCAAAAGTGAAAGGTGGTTTCGCTCTTGTCGCTGCACATGTTGTTTGTCGCCACCAGCACTGGCTTGGGTGATTGCATAATCTCTTTGCCATTTGAGAGGTCTCTCAGTTAAGGTGCAGTCATTGACACTCGCTCTATGTAACAACAGACTGGGCACTATGTGACGTTTTCCCTGTTGAACACTCTCCAGCTGTAGAGTATTAATTCATAACTTTTTCCATCATACGCTTATGCCTTTGTATTTGAATAACAGCAGTAAAGACTGCTATGTTACTCAGCACAAGAACAGAATATATACATTTCTGCATTTTCCAGCCACTCGTCTCAGAACACAAAAAGCAGTGTGTGCACAGCATTGTCATGAGTGCCGCCATCAACCGAGGTTGGACTTGTTGGCATGCCGGATGCCTGCATGAGTGTCCCAGCTGTATCAGCAGCCATGCATATCCGTGAGAGCACCATCTGTGATCTGAATGTTCGCAATGGAAAGGCTCCAACCTGTACTCAGGCCATTTTTGTGGCAGCACCTTGACCTGTGCTTTTTTTTAGCTGGACAGGGCGCAATCTCATGCTGCCAGAGAAGCACAGGTCTTTCTAGATAACAAGCATATCCAGACACTTACTTGGACCTGTTGCCCTGAATCTGAGATTATAATTTCCACATACAGCGCTGCTAGGGTCTTCTTGGGTCAGCACTGTTGAGCCCTGAGACTTGACAACCAGACTTTACTTCCTTGTCAGTGCTTAAATTTAAATTGGTTGTTTATCATTTGTTTAAAAATGTAGCGGGGATTGTTATCGTTTGGCAAGACCTGCCCAGTGATGATGAAAAACTCAAACTCGGCACACAGTTAGTTCTTGGCTGTAAAAAGCTGAATGTGAGCACACTGCACTCAATCTGTGCAGTAAACCCTTTCACATCCTTGCAGACAAGCTGTTACACCCTGACTGCTGCAACAAAACAAACCCCAACTATGCACGTAAGATTTGGTGACCTCACGTAGAGAAATTCCCAGAATAGCTTCACCCACGAATAGAATTAAAAGAAAACACCTATGTGAGTGTGCAGGGACTTAAAGTCTGACGTAGTTGTACCTGTATATCAGGTTGTTTTACAGGTCAACTTATTGTAGTCTCTTGCATATTTCAGAATTGCCTGTATTGTGATGCTTGTCCTAAGGATTGCATTGTACTGTGAGTTAGATTTTTTATTTATTTATTTTTTAAATTAAATTGGTCATTCTAAAGGGACACATTTAAAGCTTTACGAGTTTAAAAGTCACCAGTTAAGAGTTAATGCTGAGTGAAATCACATTACAAGCACCCACAGAATTATGTCATGCTTGCAGATTCCATCTGTGGAGCTCTGAAAGCTTTAATTTTAATTTATCCCCTCTGATATAAAGCTGAAACCATGACCCAAACATCAAGCTGTGTCGATTTTCTTTGTGTACTAAAGTAGCAGTTTTTTTTTTAATGACTCATGTTGGGGTTGAAACGATTAAATATCACAGGAAGCTGGATATAATAACAGTCGTTAAAATATTCCATTTTATTTCACTTGGTAAGAGAAGACGAGAGTGCAAGGGTTTCGGTTCATCCCTGTTTGAAGCATCGAGTATTAATTTGTAGTGTATTTGATATTTGTAAAATCTTTTCACATCTTTACAAAAACGTTCCATCACTGGCCATGGTGGAAGTATTTGGGAGATTTGGCAGCTGACTTGCCGGCTGGATACTTTAGCGTATGAACGGGCTTTCTGCCTGCTTCCTGACTGTCTGAGTGGGTGTTTCCCTGTTCAACAGGGAATCAAAGCAGAATGCCTTGCTGACTCACTGATGAAGTAGAAGTAGGTGGTGGATGGAAATCGAGGCTGGCTGGTTAGAGACCATAGAGATTGGCTGACCCACTTTTTACTCCAGCACCAGTTCCTTTCAGTGCTCAATCATGACATAGTGGTTTTCCCCTTCTAGCCCAGGGCTTTGTCCCAATAAAAGAGCTCACCAAGCTCGTCCTGACCTAGTACTCTCCTGCCTGCATCTTGAGTTTCACATTGTGTTGTTACTGAAAATTAGTTGTTCTATGAACCCGATCGGCACTCATTCTACATCTATCTTCATCTACTTTTTCTAATAAAGGTTCATTAATATTACACTCTTAAGATTGGAATTGATGGATACACCTTTCTCCGTAACTTGTCTCTGCACACAGACAACGTTTATGACATTTTCATAAATGTAAAGTAGAATCTTTACCCAGTTACTCCTCACATTTCTATAGCACAGTGGGAACAGCTGGGTAGCTCACCGTGTTGGAAAATACTTTTTCTTAAATCTCATACAGGTCTATGTTGGCAGCCGTGTTGCCACCTTGATGTGCTGCGCTTCTCCCATCTCTCCATCACTCAGGCATTTTCTGAAGCAATGTATCCAGTTAATATAAAGCTACTGACAATAAAACCAAGCTTGAATCTGTGCAGGAGATACTCCAAAAAGCGATTGATTAATTTGCTGGGACTAATGAGGAAATATTTTGCAGAATGTGACTTGTACTTGGCTTTTATCTCGTACCAGACGATTTTGCACCTGACTCACAGATTTCTCTTCATCCCCCTGCAGATGTAGACAGGCCCCAGCTGCTTAAGGATCTGATCATACGAGGGGAGACCACTTCAAAGTGGATGAAACTAGGTCAGGCTGAATCAAACCAGACTCAGACCAGATCACAACAGAGCAGACCAGACTGATTCAGACGATACCAGGCTCGTCCAGGAAGCCTGTTCCAGTTTCCTGTCCAGGTAACTGAAGCCGCTCTGCACGCCATCTGTAGGAGGTGCCTACTCATATTTCAGAGATGTGAATTTGAACCAAGGAGTCGTCCTTCACAGTGCTCTAGTGGGAGAAATAATTAACATATTTGAAAACTAGGCCAGCATTTGCTTTGGAATAAGTGTGACATTAAAAATGTGATATTTATTTATTTTTATTTCCTTGTAATATTTGTAGTGTTTGGTTCAATTTAAGTTATCAGTGAACTTATGTATTAATACACCTCTGTTATATTTGCTTACACAATTTAAGGACTAAATCTGGTTTGAAAGGAGTCATGTTGTCAGAGCAGTAACGTGTTGCATGCATCTGATTCTGGCTGACTGCTGTTTAACTTTATCAGCCTTCACCCCAGAAAAAAGGCTCACCGCCTCCACATGCTGCTGACATTTTTAGCATCTTATAAAAACACAGCACTCCTATTGCAAAAAATTTAAATGGTATGCTTGGCCTTGAACAAGTGGTTTAGTGCACACACCCGCTTGCGGTTGAGTGAATAGATAATGGCATCGAATATCTTGTTTTTTTGTCTTTGTTTTGTTCTTGTTTTGTATCCTGAACCCCTGAATAACGAGGTGATGCCTACTTCCTTTTTTTGTGGTGTTGAGTTGCAGTGGAGAGTTGTGCACAAACAAGTGGAAATTCTTATCAGCAGGAGAGATAGAGATTCCTCTTTACTTCTCTTTTCTGTCCTCTGTTTCACCTGACCTCTCCACTCCCTGAGCCTGGTTGTGCTGGAGGTCTCTTCCTGTCAAAGGAGTTCTTTGACAGGCGTTCTTTAACCGTAAGGGATGATCTGATCTTTGGGTTTCTCTTTGCTTTTCTCTAGTCTTTAGCTTACATTATAAAGCTCTTCGAGGCAAATATTGTTTTGACCTGGAGCTGTATGAATAGTACGGAGCCCCGCAGGGATCTCGCAAAACTTTTGCGAGATCTCGCAAACGTTTTAGCCGCATTCTTCGGACGCTGGCTCGAAGCCGACCGGGAAAGCGGTGTTCCTCCCGGCTGTAGTAGGTCTCGACCTCCCGTTAGCTCCGAGCTAACGGGAGGTCGGGCCGGATATAAATTATATTAGCTTCGAGCTAACGGGAGTTAGCTCGGGATCTCGCAAAAGTTTTGCGAGATCCCGAGTTTGTTTTGCGAGATCCCACAAAAGTCTAATTTTTTTTTCCTCCCATGTCCCCTGCGGGGCTCCGTAGAATAGTGCTTTTACTTGGCAAACTCATTCAATAGCAAAGGTTTGTTCGTTTAGAGCACGTATCAAAGTCAAGGCCCGCGGGCCACATCCGGCCCGGCGTACATTTATATCCGGCCCGAGAGCCTGAACGCTAGGCTAACTGGGAACATTCCCGCCTCAAACAAGTCAAACTTCTGTTATTGCAAAGCTAGCCGCTCACAATGGTGGAGAGAAAAGTTGATTCTAAAAGCAGAGCCTTTCAGCGCCAATGGGTGACTGAATATATGTTTACAGACATTGCTGGTAAACCCGTGTGTCTTATTAGTGGAGCTAATGTGGCTGGAATTAAGGAAATTAATTTAAGACGGCACTACGAGACAAAACGTCAGGATAAGCTGAAAAACCTAAATGCAGAAACTACAGAAAGTATAAGAACTAAAGAAGAATCTGACATTTCAGCAGACTTTTCTCACCAGAGCAAAATCACAAAGTGAAGCTGTTGTGAAAGCAAGTTTTATTGTAGCAGAGGAGAAAGCCAATCAGCCCGGTACCACTCTGAAGAGCTGCATGATGAAGCTGTGCGACGGCTTGTGTCCAGACAAAACGCAGATTTTGGCAAATGTGAGCCTGAGGAGAAATACGATTGCTGATCGGGTTTGTGAGATGGCCACTGATTTAAGAACACAGTTGTGTGAAAGAAGCAAAAACTTTATCGCATACTCTCTTGCTGTGGATGAAAGTACAGACATGATGGACATTGCACGGCTGGCCATCTTCATCCATGTAGAGGAAATATTGAACATTAAATCGATGCATGGGACAACGACAGGAAAATACTTTTTTTTTAAAAAACGTATGTAAAAGTGTAACGACGTGAAACTGCCCTGGGACAAACTTGTTAGATGGAGCGCCGGTGTTGTGCGGTGAAAAAAGCAGACTAGTCAGCAGGATGTGAGTAAAGATGTAGGAGGAGAACTGTACCAGTGGGTTAACAGCATATCACTGCATCACACACCAGGAAAGGCTGTGTGGTAAAGTCCTAAAAATGGAGCATGCAATGATCACCGTAACGCAAACCGTAAATTGTATCTGAGCTAAAAGTTTAAATCACCGTCAATTTCAGTCTTTTATGCGGGAAATAGATTCAGAGTTTGCCGACATTCCTTATTATACAGAGGTCCGTTGGCTGAGTTGGGATAAAAATTCTCAATAGAGTTTTTGAGCTCAGCAAGGAAATTTGTCAGTTCATGGACATGATGTATGATGCGGTGAAGGCATTTCAAGTGAAGCTGTCACAAATGCACCAGTGCAACCTGCCTCACTTTCCCTGTTGCCAAGTAATGCTGAACTCCACCTGTGCAGATTCAGATGGAGCTGCAGTGTAATGATGCACTCAAGGGAAAGTACGACACTGATTGGCCCGCACAGTTTATTAGTTCCATTCCTGAAGCAACGCCCAGCTCCGTCTACATGCGGCTCCAACCTTGTGTTTGCTTTCATTTATTTTTTTCTGGAGTTTTTGGCAGCATGTTCATTTTTCTAACTTGCATAATTTTGACAGGATATATTTTTATGAAGAGCAAAATATTTAAAGTTAAAGTTTCTTTTTTTTTAAGTTTATTTAATCTGGATTAATATTCCTGTCTGTTTTTATTCATATTTATGTTTAAAAAGTTTTAGTGTGTTCAATGAATGTTTATCTTGTTTGGCCCGCGACCTAAAGTGTGCCTTGAGTTTGACACCCCTGGTTTAGAGGCTTCGATACATCCTTCATGTGAAGTCTTTGTGCCTTACAGTTGTCACAGTAAATACATTTACTTACATTGTTTTTTTGGGTTTTTTTTCACCCATTCCTCTGAAACATTAGTGTGGCTCTTGATGAGAAACTCTAATCGAAACCTTTACAGAAAATGACTGAATAATTAAGCAAGAACTCTTGTTAACGACAGGCCTTCTTCAGTCAGCTCAGAGTCACTTGGGAAGGTTTCATCATCTCGGAAGTTTAAACACTAAACTTCAGAGAATTGGAATGCACATGGCACATCTCAACCAGTCTGATTTACGTGTCATGTAACTGATACGGTGCGACCTAAATAGCTTACAGTATTTCAATACATGCAGTTGTAATAGTGGCTTCCTGTTTGTTGTGCCTGAACACTTGACCCAGATGACACGATGTTTGCTGCATGTGTCCAGGCAACAGTTACTCTGTCTGTATTTCCTTTGTTTTGGGATTTCTTTGTTTTTGTCTCTGCAGATTCTCAGAATGATTCCATCTAAAAGTGTTGCTTTTGTGTGTTCACAGTTGAGGGCTCCAGAGTGGATGGAAGGAGATGATTTTAACACACAGGCTGTGATGAACATCTGTGGTGAGTTTGGCCCTTCCTAAAAAATAAATTAGTATTTCCCTCTGTGCATCTCTCAGTTAAGTGTGCACGCTTTATTGGAAAAAAAGGTCTGTGCAGATAGTCACCTCCATTTCTCACAACTACAGTATTTCCGCTTTGATCTTTACCTCAGACCTTTATAGTGATTTCTTGTCAGCACGGATAATATGAGTAATCTCGCACATGCCGCGCATATTATTTGTCAGTTCATTTACATACTTAGACCCAGTAGTTTCGGTCTATGCATGCATATGCATGCGACATTCGTGTGACTGTCTGCTCTGTGTTGCTTATATTTTCTTCTGCAAAGAAACAGTGAATTGTTTCTTTTATTTTAGCTTCTAATACACACAAACACCTGCATTGCAGCTATTTCTTAACAGAGAGAGTTTAATCACCAAAAGACTGAATAACAAGGTTGCACACGGGTCTGTTGACATCTGGCACAAGAGCCTTTTTAGATTTGCAAATGGATTTTTATATTTCTGGGGAAATATTTGTCCTTATGTTGCAGCTGTCATTTAGCGAGAATGTGTTTGTGTATGAACCATAGGATCCCTTCATTTTCTATTAGAAAAGTAGACCTGTCTTAAAAATATTAAAAAATTTAGTTCACGAACCACATAAAAACATCTTTAAGGCAGCAATAATTACCTGCCTTTGTCTATGAATAAACATTTTTTTTCCTCCTACGATTGAAGCAATTTCTCAGCGTTTGTCAGTGCTGTTACGCTGACGTTACCTCGCCATGATTTACATTTAATGAACAATTCTGGATATTAATGAGGTGAAATTTTCACACTTTGCAGTGCCATCCAGGGAACCATATTGGATGTTTCTGCTGGCCTGTTCTGTCCCCTGAGCAGCTTGTTTAACGCCCCCTGGTTAATACATTTACGTGTCAGATTAGCGTCAGCTCGGTTATTCGTGTAATTGTGCTACATTGTCAAAACAGCAGCCGATACGTTTGTTTAGCTGTTGAACTAATCTGGCAGTCATGGCAGTTGCTGGTTTATTGTGCTGTATTTGAAACTGCTGGATAGTCCTTTTGGATTTTTGAAATGTGAGCCAGAGGCATCATCCATCTGGTTTGCTGTCTACAACAACAGACTGTGGTTTAAGAATCTTTACACCAATAAAACGATATATAGGTCCCCTTTAAACATGTGCATTTGTCCTTCAATTTAAAAAATAAATAAGTGAATAAAATAACATTTACTTGGTCAAACCTTACTTGGTGCAAGAGCTTTATATAGCCGCAATGATGTCTCATACAGGAGTGGGAGCTTTTGTTTTACTCTTTGCTATGAATATGAGTTATAGAGTCACACAGCCACCAACTCGTTTGGGGCAAATGTAATTATTCCAACCACGCAGAGTGTTGTGATCTCAGTCAGCAGTGGCACAGCAGTCACTCCTCCTCTCATCTGGAGCCCTGTGCAGGCAGGCGGCTTGATAACCACTGCAGAGTCACCCAGAAAGAGTCACAACAAAGAAAGTCGTCAACTGTTGTTGTTCTGGTTTGGCAGTGTGGTTTACTAGGTTGCCAGTTTGTCTTAAGATTATGTAGCTTCAGCAGCCGGTGAAATAAAAATGGTTACTAAAAATGT